GTACATCAGGGCTCTCCAACCTTTTTGCCTAAACCTAGTAGCTTGTGAGCGATGCGTTGGAGACCCCTGTTGTACATGTACCAATTGAAACTGGAGTTTTCAAGCAGCAGCCCCTGTCCAGACAATATAAATGCCACATCATTTTAAAACAAGACAATGGTCAATTCATTGACTATTGATTAAATATTGAATGTCAAATGTTGATTGGTTGGACACACTGGGTGGCACATCGCTCAGTAAATAATAACCATCATGTAATCAGCCAAACTGTAGTATAAATAGTATTTTATATGTGAATATGTATAAAAGGGAATCTGGAGGAGTCAGTTTGAATGGTCCTGCTGCAGCCAGTCTACAGGCTGATGTTTACTTTGTATAGCCAAAGATAACTGTATAATATTGTGAGGACCGGACTAGTAACAAGGCAGCAGAGACAAAGATCAGTATTATATTTTACTATTTTCAACATTTTATATTTTCTACTATTTCTTGTTAATGTCAATATTCACTCCACTATAGAAAATATTCTTTTCAATAAGTAGTTTGTTTCTGTTCTGTTTGATTCTGTTCCGTACAACATTGATAAAGACTTGGATCCATAAGCAGAATCGATAATGGCATTGGTATCCAATAAAATCTTATCAGTTCTCATCCCAACATATAAGTATGAAAACGAAAATTAGTAGGAGTGTTGCATTTTCATTTCAAATTTTACTTCGATAACACATACATACGTGGAAAATGATAAAGTCAACTTGAAAATGAAAATGTAATCATCATTTTAATATTGTCCCCTACAGGCTTCCGTACATTTTTCAATCAGTTGTTTGTCTTTTTAAATGCACATTTGTCTATGTTTGTACCAAGTGCTTGCAAATGTTGAAGAAAATCTTTTAGTAAATTCTGATATTCAGCCACATCAACCAGCCACAGCTAAGATATCTCCATGACGACTGAGCTAACTGAATCCACTGATGGAGAAAAGAAGATATTTTAATTTAAAAGATTAATTTGTCAAAAATACTATTTCCAGATTCAAGACAGATCTTCCTCTTTAGTTATTCAACTTCTTATGAATAAAATGACAGGATGTAATTGTTCAGTGTTTCCCACAGGTGGAGAATTTACTTGTGGTGGTGCAGCATGGGACTGATGTGCAGAGACTAGTGCAGGGTTAGAGCGTTCAGGTGTAACCCAGGTTATTTTCTGTAGCTACAATTTACAGACATCCCCTAATGCCTCACATACAGATTTCTACAATTTGCAGATGTTCCCAAACACCTCCCATGCACAGTAGGTGCTAGCTGGGCAGCAGCACAGAGAGAAGCCTCTGGTCTCCACTGAGTTACTGCAGCAGCAGCTCAGACAAGTGTGGGGACAAAACTGATTTCATCTGAAAAGAGTTAAATAAGATTCTGATGTAAGATTCACCTGAGCTGAAACTGAGGGATTTTATTTACGTAGACCAGGTAAGGAAATTGCGTCAGAGTATTAAGGCCACATTGAGGGGAAAAAAAGAAATCTTAAAATTTTGGAAATGAAGTTGTAGTTTTGAGAATAATATCACGAGAATAAAGTTGTAATATAAGGAGATTTAAGAATGTACAATTTTGAGAGAGAAAAAAAAACAGAATTATTAGGAATATTACATCAACCACTCAAACAGGTGAAAGGACAGTCAGTGTCAGCTGCTGTCTGTCTGTCTAGCAATAGAATAGACTCAGTTTCTTCACAATCTTTTCAATGTCCTGATGATGATGATGATGATGATGATGATGATGAGCCAAAAGATGAAGTATCTCCTTATTAGTGAAACCTCTGCTGAAGTAGAACTTCCCTTATTTTAAAGCCTCTATTTCCCCTCTAAAACAACACACAACCTCAAAATACAACTTTATTCTCATATTATTCTCAAAATTTTTAGATTTTTTTTTCCTCGATGTGACCCTAATACTCTGTTGTAGGAAATCAATCAGCACTCCCGTGATTGTTTATTCTTTAGCTAATAGTGTAATAGCAAAAGAAACACCTGATAAATACAGGTGTCAAAATGCAATATGAGCATTAGCCAGTCCTGCTCAATGTTTTAAACTGCAACATGGCCGAGGAACAGAGATGGTACTGAACCGTGGTACTACCAGTGTAGGAAAATCTTTGACAGTAAACATGCATATATTTCGGTGTGTGTGGCAACATAAGAGAACCTTTTTAACCCAAAGCATGTTCACTGTAGTGTGGATCATTAACAAACCAACACATGTTTCTACTTTTAACTCAATAAGACTTCTCAGCAGGTAAACCTAACCTGACAGAACATTGCTGACCACCTGCTGGTGTCAGTTCGTCCAGTTTAACCATGACATGAAACAAACTGTCTTCAGTCATTATATGTCTATTTTTAAAAGCACCATCTATTATAAAAGGTAGATGTCCATGTGTTGTTTGATTATAGATCAGCTCTAGGTTCTATATTAATACTCTGAAAGTGTCAAAGGCTCAGTCCACAGAGAAATGCACACAGCCTGTATTCAGAAACTGAGCCTTAGCCGCAGTCACCGCTCTCAGCCCAGACAAGAAGCGTCCAATCAGAAGATTGGATTGGAGAGAAGCCTGAGAGAGGAGATGTAAAACTACATTGAGATGGTTTTTGGTTCTTAAAACCAAAAATATATATTCTTATGGATCAACACTTCAAATAAAACACAGAAGAAGAGGAAAATATGGAGCTTTAACCAATTTGTGCATTATATTTAATTTAATGTGTTGGTTCACTTCTGATATGTTAGTCCTGGTTAATCAGTGTCTGGGGTTCCAGATTCTTGGATAAATGTTATTGGCTGTTGTCTATTCTTAGTTTGATTATATGGGCTTCAGATAATTTTATGTGTATTGCAAATAAATTACATACATGTTAATATACAGAGGAAAGTGATTCATAATGTTGGTAAATTGATGAATTTGATTTGCTGCAGCTCCACTACTGATAACCTGCTGAACAACAATAACACAACTATGGTGGATAAGATGCACAACACTGAGTCATTCACAGAACATCACACCAACTCTGCTCACTGGCAGAAAACCAGTGCAGACATCAGATCCAGTGTAAACTGACCATCGTCTCACTAGCATTCTGTCTCATCAAGCTAACGTCCAGAATCATTCACTCTTCACTGTTTATTCTTCTGTATGGTGTGTTTGCTATTTTGTAGAGCTGTGTGAATACAGAGGGAGAACTACAACACACTATATAGTGAACTCAAAACATCCCACAATGCATTGGAAAAGATTAGTACACTACTGATGATCTCAAATTAATAACTGGCTCCAGTTTGTGATATATTAACATTTCTTCAGGTCACAGAGGAAACCACCAGTTTCTGTAAAAGATAATTAAATGAACATGTGTGAAACGCCCAGAGGGTCGTTTATAAGCCTTAGTGTTGTTTTTAAAGAAGAATCCCCAAGGACTGAAAAATATTTTGTGCTCAGAATGATAGAAAAAGATTTTATGACTCAACTCCCCAGTTAAGCTTCTGTTTACGAATCAAAACAAAGATGGCAGCCCGCCGGTTACCTGCATAGGAAACAGAGCCACAACTTGTCAAATAGATTAAACATTTTCCACATTGAGCAATGGAAAGGTGGAATCTGGAAACACCACCAGAACAGCAGAAAGCCTTTAAAAACGACCTTCTGGGTTTTACAAATGGTGCTGGTTAATTAGGCTATCTTTTAGAGAAACTAATGGTTTCCTATCTGACTTCAATGTATGTTAATACTAGGGATGCCGCAATCACATTTCACATTTCATCTATCGGCCAATCCACGGCCGAGTCCTACCATTTTTGGCAGACATTGCAGATGCAGTACGATATATCAGTCTCACACACTTTCCACACGGTAGACATGTTTTTGTGTTTTGGTGGCCTGTCGCGTGCACCAAAGTGGCCTGTTGCAGACACCAGAGTATTAACCACAGGTGATCGGTTTTAAGGTGATCGGTGACTAGAAGCATTAATGCCAATCTACCGATGTATTTTGAATGAAAATCGGTCGATCATAATCGGCGGGCGATCAATCAGGGCATCCCTAGTTAATACACATCAGGTACAAACTGGCATCCACCATCATGCATTCTCTGCATTCTTATGTAAGGAATGACCCAAGCAGTGTCCCAAAGTTTTCCATGTTAACTATATATATACATATATAAATAAATATATATAATATATTATTAATATAATAAATATATATATAAATATATCTGTGAGTATGAGTATATATATATATATATGATATATATATATCATATATATATATATATCATACTCACAGACCTCCCATATAGTGAGAGGTGAGTCAATAAAGCCTTAAACTACTACTTTAAAACTTTAGAAAGAATTGTGTGGTCACAGGTTTTAGGAGGCTCAGTTGTGTTGGATCAGGTCTGATGTGTTGCTGTATTTTGGATCAGGTCTGATGTGTTGCTGTGTGTTGGATCAGGTCTGATGTGTTGCTGTGTGTTGGATCAGGTCTGATGTGTTGCTGTATTTTGGATCAGGTCTGATGTGTTGCTGTGTGTTGGATCAGGTCAGAATGTGATCTAAATTTAATTTCAGTCAAACTTAGGTTCCACAACAGGTGTTTCCAAGGGGCTCTGTTGACATGCAGCGACACAGCTTCAGTCTGGAGGACTAACAAGTTCTTGTTCTGTAGTGTTGACTAAGACACCAAAAACCGAATATTAGCTAGGTCACTACAACATTACAAACCCTGATCCACGTGTTTGTTTGTGTGTGTGTGTGTGTGTGTGTGTGTGTGTGTGTGTGTGTGTGTGTGTGTGTGTGTGTGGCGTCTGGGTTGATGTGTGGTCACTGGGCACGTGCACAATGCTTCTGCTACACTGTAGTTTCTAAAAATAGACACATTAAAGAACATGTACTCCCATCAGCCCCATGATGTCCCCCATGGTGTCCCCCATGGTGTCCCCCTCTCACCTCCGTCACCGTACGTCTCCACGCCGTAGCCATCCTGCAGTCCGTTACTCCAGGTGCCCTCGTACCTGGCAGGTGTGTTCAGACTCTGCCGGACTCCGTACCGGCCCTTGTACCCGTGTGTCCACTCTCCCCGGTAAATCCACCTCCCCTTGTTCTCTACACCGAGTCCGTGGCGTTTCCCTTGCGCCCAGTAGCCCTGGTACACGTTCCCGCTGGGCCAGGTGTAGACGCCAACCACCTCAAAACCATTGGACCAGGAGCCCGAGTACTCGCCCTGGCCCTTGGGTCCCGTGCAAACGCCGTGGCCGTGGGCTTTGCCCTCCTCCCAGCCTCCGCAGTAGGTGCCACCATCGTCAAAGTCGAACCGACCGCCCGTCATTCAGAAACGGATGGTAAAGTACTACTTGGTGTCGTATGATGAAGTCCACAGTGTGTTTTCAGAAGCGAGTTGATGTTGACAGGATTGCCCGGGTGACAGTACGAGCTCTCGGCGGAGGTGCGAGGGAACCGGGTGTGACGGCGACTGGGCGCATCGGCAGCGCGGTGTCGGTTACTGAAAGCGGGACTTTGGATGGTGAGAGTCGGCCGCCGCGGCTGCCAGAGTCGCTCCACTGCTGAGTGCCTGAGGAGTCTCCCACTCCTCTCACTGACCACTGACAAGCTAACCATCATGAAACAAGACAGCGCTTCCTGTCTGCCCCCTTCAAAATTAAAGCCAGCGCGCTAACGTTTCCCAGTATTACAGGGCTTAGCTCTGACTACAGAAGTAAAAACAACATGATAGTGACACTGTGATGTAGACACATTATCAGGGAATACAACCAGGAAACATAAAACATCGAGGGATCTATCTGTTTTGGCCACTTGATTACAATGAAGTATACAAGAAGAGATATTATATGGTATTCCAAAGCCTACTCCATATTATAGTATGTATATATATATATATATATATATATATATACATGTGTGTGTGTATATATACAAGCACACACACACACACATACACACACACACACACACACACGTATATATATATATATATATATTCTCACCCTGCAGGTTTTGCTGTGCAACAACTAGTGTTCAGTAATTTATGTAAAGGTCTTGACCCCCAGCAGACAGGTGTCAGTGTGACCCTGGAGGTTTTGGAGCCCCTGAGAGTCTGCAGCCCTGCAGGCCACTTCCAGCCTTGTTTCTCCGTCACTGTGTGTGAGGGAGTGTCTGTTGTATTTACTTCATTTCATGAATTAGGGATTTTAATGCTTTCTTCCTTGATCTTGTACAGTCGTATATGTTTATCTGTAAAAAGGTAAAAATGGCATTCTCCCCCTGTTCCAGGAATTATAATGCTTATTTACATGCAGTACTATGTTAAAAACATAAGAGCAGCCTCTAAAAGAGGTGATGTTAAGTTTTTGTGTCGTGGGAAGAATTCCCTTAATCCTCCAAAACTCTGTTGGTTTCGTAGGACTAAAACATGGCACATGCTGCCTGCAACCAGTTGGGTGGGGTAGGAATTAAATGTGCCCGGGTATTCCCTGTGCAGACATTAAAAAAAAATCTATTCGAAGCTCTTAAGGTTTCTAAATTTAGAAATGACACCAGCTGTTCTCACTGCAGTTCAAGCTGCTCATGTAATGCGTGCACCAAAGAACTAAAGTGGAAATAAACAATATATTGAAGACAATACCTGTTGTAAACGAGAATGTTATTGATTTATCTGAATTGCCCTCTCAGCAGTAGGTACACATGACAACATTACTTTCCCCAAAAGCACTAAGAAATGTGCTTTTATTTTGAAAGCAAAAACACAGCTCAACTTGTACTTAACTGTCCACCTTCACTGCCTATCTGTGAGTCTGCAGGTCTGTCACACATGCACACAGGTGGAGATCAACAGTATGGAAAGTTCACGAGAGATCTGTTGATTTATAAATATGTCTGTTGACACATGTCAATGGCAGAGTTTAGTGATTCAGACACTTCCTGTAGAGTTCACTATTTTAAGGCCATTGCATTAAAACAGATACAAGTTAAGATAAGGTGGACATCTTTAAATCAGCCTACATTAAAATGAGATCAGTGAAACCACAGCTTTGATACGCATATTTAATCTATGATTCCCCTGAAACAGAACTGGTTAATGTGAATCATGATGCCTCTGGTCTCTATTATTTCTTTTCTTCTACTGAAGTTAGCATGCTAACCAGCTAGCCGTGGCTGGTCTCATCACTTTCCAATCATAGCTTCCAATCTACCCTGAAGAAGTAGCTGCTTAGAGGAGTATTCTAACTTCCTGTATTATAAAGACAACTATGGCTGAAGCTCTTGTCAAGTGACAATCACCATCACCTGCTGGTGACAAGAAACCACGCAAAGAAAATTTACAAATAGGCACTTTAAACTGAGGATACTGAGGTTTTCATGGTACTGGTGCTGAGGTATGAAGCCATCCTACTAACTGATGTAATAAAATATCAATAATGGTAATAAGAATTATTGACGTTGCATGTTACAACTATAATGTAAATGTATGTTTAAATATGTATAACTGATGTTAAATTCGGTTTCCATTCTTCACTGAACTTGTAATTTTATTTAACAAATCAGTCAGTTAAATTTTCTCCCCATTGTTCCTCGTGTGTATGAGTTGAAAACATTGAATGTCCTTATTTCTGTGTTGATAATGAACAGAGGTGAAGAAGCCTCTTGGATGATGGTGACATGTCTTGGATAACCACGTCCTGAGAACAGCGACGACTGAGAATCTTCACAGATGTATTGATGATGACTCTGATTCTGTGGCTGTTTTGACTATTTAGAGAAAATAAAATAATGAGGAAGACGTTGAGATAAAAACCATTGTACTGCTTTCCTTCGCACGTCCTGCGACAATAAATAATTTGAGGCCTCTGGACTGTGCATCTGTTAGTTTCTACACTGCAGAACAATAGTTCCACCTGGTTTTAAAAGTAACACACATCAAAAACTGATTGTTGTCACAGGTTATTACTATTTTAAGAAAAGCCTTTAAATGAGTCATATTCATGAACTCTGAAGTGAGCCTGTGAAGGAAGCAACAGTCCACCACAGATCAGCGTTTGAGGCCACAAGAGCGTGGGAGAGAACTGCTGCCATGTCCATATAAAGTCAAACACTGCCATCTTGTGAAAAGTCTAGGTTTCACAGCTCAGAGTAATGCTAGGCTGCAGCTGTCTACTTCTTTGCTGGAAATGTGGGCCTGTATTCACAAAGTATCTTAAAGGTGTAATGTGTAAGATCATGCTACTTGCTCCACCTCCATAGAGGGCAGCATTTCACCTCTTCACCCCTGTCCAGGTAATCATGTTGTTGTTTTCCCCATGTTCCTTATAATTTATTATTTATATGTGCATTAACTATTGATAGTTAAAATTGTTGACAGCACTGAAACAAATTATGAATACTTGTAATACAAACAGTATGTTTTTATTTACCTATAAAAATATGAAGGCAAGGGGATACTGCATGACACATGGGCGTGAGGCTACAGCAGCATGAGGAAGGGATGATGACATCATCACAGAGGCAAAATCAGAAAATAAGGTTTATTGCCAGGAAGGTTTTTACTTACAAGATATTTGGCTTGGTGTTTGGTGCAGTATCCAATAAACATATTAACAGGAAATAACAATAAAAAGGTAAAATACTGCAACAGTCAAAAAGAGAAATATACATAGATACACATTAAAAAAAACAAAACTATGAAAAAAACTATGTACAAAAGTGTTGACAAAACTCCTGCTGAGCAGGATGTGCAGAAGATCACAGTAGAGACAGTATGTGTTCTGTGCAGGGATAATACTCTGAGGTGTTACTGTAATGTGGTTGTTGATGGTTGATGAGGCCGGACGCAGAAGAAAAGGCAGGTGCTGGTCCATCACTGGGGAGGACTGGACTGGAATTCTGGTCCTGATACAGACAAACATGTGATAGGACAATTACTTCTTTATATTCAAACATGTTAGGTCTGTTGTGTGTGTATAATAAATTATCCCGCTGGTTCTGGATCAAACAGTCTCTTTGTCTCACTTGTAAAAGAAAAGTTACTGACGCATCAGGAGCAGGAACAGCCGCAGGAACAGACTAAATTCTGCTACATCGCTAAAACATCTGTCGACAACATCAATCATACATTTATGCCACTTGAAGTTTTTGTCATTTGCACTAATGATACTTTTCGCTACAGACCAACATTAGATGTTACTCAGCAGTCTAACAGAAAAGATGCAGCTCGGCATCAAACTGCATCTCTTTACCCGGAGCTGTCTCCAGCGGTGGGAAGCCACACCAGGATTCACCCGTGTTTTCTTCTTTGTCGGTGAATGTGGTTTCTTGTCGGAGCGATTCTTTGGGATGGAGATAAAGATCTCTTTCTAGGTGCTTCAGACATCTGTGCGTTTCTGTGATGTTCGTCTGGAGTTTTTTTTTTAGTCGGGAGCTGTAGCGTAACTTCAAGCTCAGGAGGAAGCTCTTCTTCTTTGTGGGATTGAGGGCAGACTAGACGCTACACTGACTCACACAACATCTAGTGTCATAAAGTGGTATTACAACACGGCCCGGGATGCTGCTAGTTGGTTAGCATGCTCATTTCAGTAGATATCTCTGAAATACAATAGATGGAGGTCTTGGTCATGACATCATCACTGTGGCTCCTTCACTATTGATAGTGTTAGTTCATTTTTTGAACATTTTAAACAAAAATTCTGGCCAGATCTTACACATTACACATTTAAGGCTAAAAGTAGCTCCTAACTTGCTGATTTAGGAGAAACTCCTAAAAATAATCAGCATGTCAGTCTTAACTTTAGGACTCCTATTTTTTTTTTTTTTTACGAAGAGCTGTTCACAAAGCCACTTAGCTCTAAAATTATCTCCTAAGTCTGGGAGAAGGTAGAAGCAGTGGAGAGGACTCCTATAACTCACTAAGACCAAATCACAAAGAGTCTTAAAGGGCTGCTGTCATTCCACGTCACAGTGTTCTGGAAACCTTACAAGATGCTGAATTAATTTAAAGATACGACTCAGTCACCAGGGAATAATGATCGTTGTGAAGGTGCGATAGCTTCTCCAACTGAAACAACCCAGGTTGACACAAACCTCATACAGGTGCATTTTGGAGAATGCACTACTTTTGTAAACAGCACCTGATCTGTTATTATTTAATTTGTATTGGTTTGTTTCTCAGTGTTTTACTGCGGGATGTTGCGCATGCGTTTTCTCCGGCATAGACAGTCTTTCATCAACCAATCACTGTGGCTGTGTCAGACATAGCAATGGAGTTGCACTCTTAATTTAAGAATTTTTGCTTTTCCTTACTAAAAAATTGGTCTCAGCGGCTTTGTGAAGAAGACTTTTAAAAAAAACTTTAAAAAAAAAACGTTTAGCCTGATTTAGGAGTACTAGTGGTAAGATAGAATGCTTTGTGAATACTCGCCCTGAGTATCACAAACAATCCAGGATTATCCATTATAAAGATTAAAGGTGAATGTAAACAAAGACAGGAGTGTTTATATTCAGTGTTGTGTGTCC